TGAAGGAAGTCGGAAACATTCGGAATATGGAGCAAAAATTGCGATCGAGAGGACTATAAGTAAATCTGGGTCGTCTTACACCGCCAAGTCTTTAGAGTTCAGGAATGGTCGCTGTCATGGTAAGCATTACGCTCTAGCATAATACCGCAACCTTTGCTGCTGCAAAGTGTAAACTATATCTTGAACTTTGGTCCAGCCATTTTTCAAGGTTGCATTCTAGTTATTGTTTAAACTGATTAGTGTGATTGGGATCCTGGAGATGCGACGGTTTAGAGGACAAAATCTTAATTTTTTTGTTTGTGTAGTTTGTCTTCTGTTTCATACAAATTTTTAGCTTTTTTTAGGGTTTGGGGGTGGAGGGAGAGGAGATCAGTTGCAGTTTTTATCTCTGAAGCTTTTTTATTCATATTGGTTATTACGCCGTTTTTCCGTTATTTCTCCTTTTTCTAGAGAAGGTAATTACAACAAGAAGAAATGACATTGATGGGATTTTAACCCGTTTTGACATCCAACTAAGTAACCCTATCTTTTGGATGTCGCAGGATAGATGTCGTGCATTTTTGCAGGACATGAGACCGGACTCATTGTATAAAGTCAGATTCTACATATGATTTGATGCAGTCTATTTGGTGAAATTAACCTTTCATTCTAAAATTTTTTTCGATTATTTTGAAGTTTTTTGCGGTTTTCAAGTGCATGTCAACGGTGGTTTAAAAGACTTGTAGCACTTTCTAAGGAGCTCGTGTTTTTGCTAAACTTTTAGGAATTGTTTTTGGATTTTAATTTATTTATTTTCATAACTCTCTTTTCATCAGAAAATGATTGAATTTCAGGTTTTTATGTGTGCAACGGAGCTTGACTACACTCAAGATTGTTACTTCAGAGTTGAACGACATATAAATGATGTACGGCATCTGATGAAACCGTTGAAGATTAATTTAGAAAAAAAAAAAGGGTAAATTTTTCAACATAGTAACATTTGCATTGTTGTTGTTTCTATAATTTTTCTTATTATTGGCTTTATTGATTGCATCGTGTCATTATCGTCATCCTCTAATGAATGTTTGTTATTAGCATTCCATAATTCTGGAGGTCTAGAGCTAGACCTTAAAATAAATGTAGTGTACTTTTTCGGTAGGTGACAATCAGTATCTTGCTTCAGAATTTGTCTTCCGATTTGGAGGACTTAAAGTTTTGCTGTTAAGCCAGAGAGGTTAATTTTTGGGTATTTGTAGGATTTACTTTACTTTATATTCTTTCGGTTATCGGTTTAAGAATTTCCTTATATTCGTACCAAGTTTAAAAGGAAAAGTATTGACTTGAATTTTTAGACAAATTATGAAGCTGAATGTACAGAAACAGAAAATGAGAAGCATTGAGGAAAAAAGAGTGAAATTAAACGAGCTTGGGTGGATTTTGGTGTGGTCATCAGTGAAGGATGCAGATAAGGTTACACAGTTTTCTGTCCTATTTTTATGGCTGGCTGCCCTCTGTTTAAGTTGATCTCTGAACATTTTTTAGTCAAATTTATAAATCTGGTTTTTTCATTTTTAGATAAAGTTTTATAGGAATTACGAAAATGGGAAGCGGCAGTACATAAAATAGAAGAGGCTGCGAATGAGCTTGAAAGAATGGCGTCTGACTCGGAAGTTGAAATAAATTTTGCTTCACATTTGCTAGACTCTAGGAAGATTGAAGTTGTTGGTTATAAAGATCTTGTGGGATGATAGTTGGTTATTGATTCTTTCAGGAGAACCTGGAGGCGTTAAAGTTAGAAGAAAAAAGATATGAAAAGCAAACGGAACTTTTGGAGCGTGAAAGGGATGAACTGAAGAAGAAGGTGGTAGATTTGTTAGTCTGGAGCGCAGTTTGGTGAAAAAGTTTTGGGATGGTGTTAATTTACTTACTACCTATAGTTTTTCGGTTTTAGATGCTTGAAAAGGATTACTTGGCAGAAGCTGCTAGGAAGGCGAGTTTGGAGCAAAGACAGCGTTTGAAGTTTAAGGAGCGAGAGTTGAAGGAAATTTCAGCGCAGATTAGTTCAGTTGACCAAGAGGTTCAGAAAGTGCAAAGAAGGTTATTAATTTTTTGTTTGTTGGAGGGGGTGAGTGTGAGAGTGGTTGGGAAGAAACCTTGAAAGAGGAGAGAGCAGCTTTTTTAATATCAATCTTATTCACAGAGTAAAAGAAAATAAAAGTGGCGTGTCAGATCTTCCAAAGTTGGAGGACGATTTACAGCGCTGTGGTAGAGTTCTCGA